CTCTCACGGCGGCAACAGGCTCGAGCGATATGACCTCGTTGTTTACACTTGAAGCATGACGCCGAGCGGAAGCGGCAATCCTCGGGTCCGTGCCCTTTTGCTCCGCAGCGGTAGCACCCAACAATCTGTGGCCGGCTTCGTGGGCGATAGGACTGGCCTCCCAGCGCATGCACACTTGCCTCAGCGGTGGGGCTTACTATCTCTTGCGCGTTGGCCTCGGCCATTTCGGTAGATATCGCAATTTCTTCCGCTTCGCTCCTCGTCAGCTGTGGTTTCGCGAGTAGCTGCCGACGCACTCCGACGTTGTGCAGACCACACACGATGCGATCTCGTAGCATTCTGTCCAACGAAGCACCAAAATTGCAGGTGTCCGCTATCTGTCGAATCGCCACGACAAAATCCTTGACCGGTTCGCCGGGCAGCTGATTGCGGGTGAAGAACTTATAAGACTGTGCTATCTCGTTCGGTTGCGGCGAGAAGTGCTGCTTAAGCAAGGCTATCACTTGTGGGTACGAAAGTTCATTCACCTTATCCGGAGCACAACGTCCGCTCAGTACGTCGACGGTGTGGGTGGACAGTGCAGTCACCAGCAGGGCCCGCTTCTTGTTGTCTTCCGTGATGCCATTTCCCTCAAAGAAGGCTTCCAGCCGAACCTGGTACGCGGGCCACTTGTCGCTCGCCTCGTCGAACTGCGGCGGGCTGGCGTATCCTCCCGTGGGTGCGGCGGTCATGACGGACGGAGTTGCCGCACCGCTTTTATCCCGCCCTCGTCGCCACTGTAACGAACACGCCAGGGCCGTGGCTGGGCCAAGACAAAAGCTTTATTGCGATAGCGCGGGTTAATGTAGCGTTGTGCGAGAGGGGTAAAGGGGAAGGGAAGGAGAAGAAGCAGTGGTGATAACGGCGGCTTCGGCTGGCGTGACGTCACGGATACATCAGACCGCCTACAATTAATCACTAGTAATCGACCTAACTGCACTAAGCGAAGCTAAAGGCCAGGCTGAATGGCCTTTAGTTTCGCTTCATGTTTCTGTATCTTTCCAGAAATAAAATCTGTTCAAATCAAATCAAATTTAAAAAAATGAAGAACCTTCTGTGCATCAAGAGACGCAATAAAATGCTGCTTGTTTGTTTGTGTTTGATTCATGGAAAAAAGAATCACCGGACATTACTATGGGGAATGGTGCGAGTGGTTCAAAAATTCAACTTTTGCGTGGTTACATGGGACAGGTGTTGTCATCTAGCGGAGTGCAGTTGAAACAAAAAAAAAGTTGGCAATCTCGAAGCCAATGGCGGGAAATTGATCAACGACCGTTGTTGCTCCTGTGACTCCCGCTGCTTTCGGTCTGTGGCTACTAGCACAGTAAAGCTATTCAACGTTGTTCACGGCAACAGGGACGTGAGTCGGTCCAGGCGGTCCGCTTCTTGAGGCGGGTAATTTGAAGTGTGCTAACCCGATGCAAACCACTAAAACGTGATTTTATTCCAAAATAGGCCCTTCCTTGGCACAAAAGTAACATTATGATGTTTGTGGACCGCCATTTCAACAATCAACGTCGAGTTAATGGTTGCCTTTTAGTGTCCCTTTAAGGCCTGACTACCCATGCATGTTGAAGCCCATCAGCGTGTAACTTTCTGACATGGCATCATCCCCGCTCCCTATGGAGAGTGTGGGAGAGAGTGCGAGAAGTTATTAAGACTACGCTCTTCTTTTTTATAATTGTGATATCCATATATTTATTAAAAGTGCAATGAAATTGGTAATTTTTGAAATTTTAGAGTGAAAAATTTTAACTTAGCATGTCGCTTTGAGTCCTTAAAAAGCTTGCAACAGGTCCTGGAAAGTCCTTGAATATCCTTGAATTTTCTCTTTGGAAACCTATACAAACCCTGATGTGGATACCAAACTTCAGCAGCATGTTCTTATTTAGATCTTATTGCATGAAGGCGCATGAAATGAAAGTGACATCTATTACACTGCACAGAAAAAAATGTGTGATTGCAAAATAATATCAATAGTAATAAATAACCTATTTATATAATGTTTGCATTGACCGCCATTTTAAATTATATTTGTGACCACAACTTTATTTGAATGTACTCAAAAAGATAGTGTATATGTATTAGTGTCCATTTTGTTGTGCACTGTATTGGTTTATTTTTTTCTTCATTTTTTTAGTTTTTTCATCTCTGTGCTATTTCTGCACTGTGTATACATCTCTACTGACACTGTAAGGGGGGAGGGAGCTTCATCAAGTGGCAATTGAGCGGCTTTTTTTCTTCTCCATGTCGGAAAGAAAGATTCAAGCCAATATCGCAGCACGTGTATTCAGGCACGTCCTGTTTTATATTTATCTTCTTCTTTCCCTATTTGAACACAGTGTAGACAAGAGAACCTGTGGCAAAAACACGTGTACACGGATATCAGTATGCAGCATCGAAACCAGGCACTCTACACCATGGTGGCATGCTCTCAACGCAGCTAATATACCACTTGCACTTTAACACACCATTATTGTAGTACTGTCAAGGATTATAGAGAAAGTGAAGGTATCGTTAACAGAACTGCAATATATGTGCCAAACGATCCATGCGCAGGTTTATAGTGCAGTTCCGAGCACATGTCACCACTGCTGCAAAGTGCGGCACTTGTGCGGCTTTTTTTTTCTCGCAGTAGCACACTGACTTATTGCACACTTCTTGTCCGCTGCTAAGAGCGCTGCTGACTGCGTCAACAATGCTGCACTCTGAGCAGTGAAATCCACAAACAGCTGAAGTTAATGCACGATGCCCACATGCAGCGCGGACTGTGCCAATGGCGACTAAAAAAGACTGCATATGCTGCTGTTCCTTATCTCAATTAAAGGAACACTAAAAGCAGCTATATAGTCAACTTTGATTGTTGAAATAGCAGTTCAGAAACCTCATTGCATTACTTTTGTGCCAAGGAAGGGCTTATTTTAAAATAAAATCGCGTTTTAGTGGCCCGCATCGAGTTGTAGCACTTCAGATTACCTGTCTCAAGAAGCGGTTCTACTAGCGTGACTGTTGTTGCACACAACGTTGCCTGGGTTTACTGCACGGTCGCCGACACTTGTAGACATAACGAAAGCAGCGGGAGCCACAGCAGCAACGGCCATTGATCGATTTTCTGTCATTGGCTCCGATATGGCAGACGTGTTTTTGGTTCAACTGGGCCCTGCTAGATGGCACAACCTGTCCAGTGTAACTACACAAAAATTTAATTTTTGAACCACTCGCGGCATTCTTCATAGTAATGTCCAACGGTTATTTCCCCCACGAATGAAACAAAAATGAACGAGTAGCATTTTATTGCATCTTTCGATGCACGGAAGGTTCTTTTTCTAGTGCTACCAGATCAATTACTAGTGATTAATTGTAGGTGATTCGTCTGTCGTGATCGATATCATTGTGAGAATGTCCTACTGCTGTGCATGTACTCTTGTGCATTTACTTTAAATTCTCAGTAAGTAGGGCACTGTTGTTAATAATATTGTCGTTTAAGATGTTGTCATACATTGAGCTTTCTTTCTGATGTAAATTGTTATTTGACTTTAGTGTCGCTTTAACTACGGTGAAGTCAACCACGGACACGCATCTTATGTCTATGTTTCCGACCAGTCTATGTTTCCAACGCGAGTGAACGTCGCTTTTCGCATTTTTTCCTGTGTCGCATTATCGGCACCGATACCGTCTTCCGTCGTCGCTCTAGCAGTGGCGACGGGCTCTAACATGTACAGCTGCACAGTGAACTCATACTGCTTTCCACAGTTTGACACACTAACAGCTCTACCCGATTTCAACAGATAAATCCGGTATCGCCTACCAGCAAGCGCAGTAAGGTGTTCTCACCGTCCCGCGTGTGATGTTAGGGAGCTATGACCAATCACAGCGGTGGCGAGACACGGGATGGCCGCCGCGATGCCTGTTCCTTGTTTTTGTAAAATAGTTATCACATGCGAAGCAGCTCTTTGACTAGCCTGGGTAGCGCTGTTGGTATGAACGCGCCACAGCGCGCTCCCCTCGTCGCTAGTGTTGGAGCAGTGCCAAGTAGGTCATTCTGCATCTGTGCATTGGTGTCACGCTTCCTTCGCAGTTCGTGCTGACGTCACACTCTCCCTCGCCTCCTGCGAGCAACGCAGCGCCCACAGCTGCCGCCTCGTCCGTTCGCCCACACCAGCCGCTACCGCTGCTCGCTACACCGTCGACTCGTCGGTTTACGCACAATAAACCTGACGTGCCAGCCATCCTGAGACCTATCCCAGCCATCACTTCAAACGAATCTTCCAGTGCTGCACACAGCACTCGCACTAGCGCCGTTCAACCCGTGACGTCACCTGTGCACAACGCTGCTGTTTCACATCCCGTCAGGATACCCTTTGGGAAGATGCTGTGAATTTTTTTGCATTGTTTTACGAAAATTTTTTACTTGATATTCGAGTTGGCAGCATGATCATGACATCATAACCTTGTACTTTAATTGTTTCGGTGTTCCTTTAGGACCAGTGCACAAACTAGAAAAAAGGATTGTTCAATGCATCGGTTCAAATACTGTCTCCCATTATTCTCCATGTATACTCTACAATAGCTAGCAGTGAGACAGCAAAAAATAAACATTAACATTGGGTTTATTTCTATGCCAACAATTTCTTAACCAGTGGGTCATCTTTTCAAGCTCGTCACGGTGCTTGTACCTATGTCACTATTATCCAATTGAAGAACATGTCTGCCATCTATGACAGCAATAGATGCTCAACCATTTTACAATTATTTTGAAGAGTGTGGGTTCTTAATGATATTGTGATTCTTCTGCATTGGTGACATATCCTAAAGCATTTCTACAATTATTTGTGATGCTGTCAGTTCTGTTTGCTCAAGTTCATGAGAAAAATGATGCTGTCCTGGATTGTTTCTGGGGCCCATATGAAGTTACCTCACTAAGTATGGCATTGTAAATTTTAAAAGCTATATTTTTGCAGATTCTACTTTCCAACCTACGAGAATGACCAACTGCTCTGTGCTCTGGAAGACAAAAGCCTACTGGAGGACCCTGCAGATGAAGTGGTTGTGTCAGAGGACTGGTTGCCACCAAGTAGTGTATTTGAGGCAGTTGAGAGTAGTGAATGATGCTGTAGATATATTTGCTTGCATACAAAACCTGGTTATCGGTCTTCTTTTTTGGCATACACTACTTTCTACACAATGAGGTGCATAGATAAGCACTCAAACATTTACCAAAAGACAGAAAAAAATTGCAACCTGCCAGTAGCGTACCCAGAAGTTTTGGGGGGGAGGCTCTCAATTATACTGGATGCATGTTCGTGAATGCATTTCTGTCGGTGTGTAAATACATCTGCGTACACGCAAAACTGAAAAACTTGGGGTTCGAACCCCCATCATTACCTGGGCTAACTCAGTGCAACTTGCATTGGCTTCTCACAATAGCTCATAAATTAGGAAGAAGGAAGACAGCTTGTGCGACATTGTATTCATCTGCGACGAAGAGACGTCCAGTATGCATTGGGCAACAGAATCTGGGTGTAGATTCCCATACAAGTATGTGGCGTCGGAAAGCTGCTACACCGCTATTTTGGTCCCTACAAAATTGTTTGACGCATGGTTCACTGAACTATGAAGTTGTTTCGAAAGCCAAGAAACCTCATACGCTACTCATGCTGAAGAGGTGGTCATAGCTCTAGCTATATCACACGACAGTTCTAACATTATAATATCAGACTCCAAAGGAGCTTGCGAAATTTTCAACTGAGATGGATCTCGCCCCTAGCTGCCAAAATTTTTTGATCTTGTCCACGGGTAGGTGACCCCTCTCCCCGCACACTAATCTAGGCACCCGGCCAGCAGAGCCTCGCAGGCGATGAGGCGACGCAAGCTGCCGCCTGCGCACTTATTCCCCGGGCCAATGCCTTGCTCACCAATGACCTCTGCGATCCACAAGCAAATCTTCCTCTTCTAACTTATAGAGAGATAATTACCCATTACCGGGACTCCCACCGCTGCTTTCCTCCGCCCTGCAAAGGACTCGGGAAGGCGGACGAGAGAATTCTTCTCCGTCTATTCACTAATACGCTACTGTGCCCAGTAGTGCTTAAGCACTACTTTGCAAGGTGCTAGGCTAGAAGGGGAAGCTATTGAACATATAAAAACAAGGGTTACAGAAAAATTTCAACAAAGGAGTGCCTTATGCACCACAATAGACAAGGATGAATCGAGTGGCACAATGGCTTCATTTTCAAAAGAGTGGGAAATGGCTGAGAAGAGGGTTCCTAGTAGTACATCAACAGGCCCAGATGGCATTCCAATTATTCTGGTAAAGACATTGGGTCCGAAGTCTAAACAGACTTTGAGAGAGGGAGTGAGCAAAATAATAATCGATGGTGAAGTCCCTGATGAATGGAAACTTAGCAGGATGAGCATGATCTATAAAGGAAAGGGGGACGAAGCTGACATAAACAACTACCGTCCTGTAACAGTGACATCGGTGGTCTACAGGCTGGCGATGCAGATTATAAAGGAAAGACTGCAGACATGGATAGAGGAGGAGGGGGTGCTGTGGGAACTGCAGAAGGGGTTTCGGAAACACAGAAGGTTGGAAGACAATCTGTTCTCACTGACACAGTGCATCGAAATAGCAGGAAAAGAACTCAGGCTCCTGTGGCTAACATTTTTGGATATCAAGGGAGCGTACGATAGCGTGGTTCAAGAGGACTTGTGGGTAATACTAGACACACTGGGTTTGGAAGATGGAGTCACTAATCTTTTAAAGGAAATCTATGAAGGTAACAAGACAATTATAAAGTGGGAAAAACAGGTATACAAGCCTGCTTAGGTAAAACGGGGGCTTAGGCAAGGGTGTGTTCTGTCATCCTTGTTATTCAGAATGTACCTACAAGGATTAGAGGCCAAATTAGATGCAAGTGGACTGGGCTTAATCCTCTCTTTCGTCAAACAAGGAAAACTCATTGATCAGGCACTACCAGCATTAATGTACGCAGATGATATAGTGCTAATGGCGGACAACAAGGAAGATTTGCAGAGATTGATGGAAATCTGCGGTAATGAGGGAGGTAGGTTAGATTTTAGATTCAGTAAGAAAAAATCAGCAGTCATGATTTTTAATGATAATGAAGGTAGTGAGCTTAGAATACAGGAAGTCAGGCTAGAGATAACAGATAAATACAAATATCTGGGCGTATGGATAAGCAATGGGACCGAGTACTTAAGGGAACACGAAATATACGTGACGACTAAAGGTAACAGAAATGCAGCAGTGATGAAAAATAGGGCATTGTGGAATTACAATAGGTATGATGTTGTGAGAGTAATATGGAAAGGGGTCATGGTTCCTGGGCTGACGTTCGGCAATGCGGTCTTGCGCATGAGGTCAGAAGTTCAGGCAAGATTAGAAATTTAGGGCCAAATCTCATAAGCGCGAAAATGCACGCGACAGTGGCGAGCGACGCTATGAGCGACGAAACAGGGCGTTCGCGCGACGTGTAGCGTTCTCGTTTTCGCGCGATCGCTCGGTTCTCCAGATTTGGAAACCGTCGCTCATCGCCCGGAAGTGCTGGGCTCAAGCAGCCAATAGCGAAAAACCGGAACAGACAAAGACTACATAGGTGACGTGACGCGCACTGCTTGAAACATGAACCGATTGCGAGATGTCAATCGTAGAGGGTTTTCCTTTTCTTGATCACGTCGTTCCAGTGCCCACTTGCGTCGTGAACGAGCCGGCTTTCGGTTGCGAGAGGCGACAGGCGGGCGCACACGATTTCTTCGCGAGTATCCAACTCAGCTCGCCGCAGGTCCAAAAGCCTTGAGGGGTTTCCTTTGCGAGCAAGGCGGCCCCCCCGCTAGCTGCAGCAGCAGCCTCCGGCAACACTATACGAAAAGGCGGGGAACGACAGCGCGATGACACAGTTAGGCCGGCGGAAATGCATAGCCTCCAAGAGCGCTGGCTCGCGGTGCATTGTGGGTGGCTCTATCCGCTCGCCTTTGTAATCTCGCGACCCGCGAAATGCATAGCCTCCAAGAGCGCTGGCCCGCGGTGCATTGTGGGTGGCTCTATCCGCTCGCCTTTGTAATCTCGCGACCCTGCCCTAGTCACGTATGCGCAACAAGAAATAACGCAATGTTTACGCATGTGCATATAAAAAAAGTGTTGCAAGGCACTAATAAACACTTTCCGTTTCATTACACAACAATATATCTTATTTTCAAATTGCATATCGCTCGCTACGCGGTTTTCTTGGTGCGAGTAGACGGCCTCATGCCAGCAACAGTGGAATTCGCTCGCCGAAGCCGTCGTGTGAATGAGGTTTGCCTGCGTTAGCGACTGATCGCGCGAAGCCGATCTACGTCGCGTCGCTTGTCGCTGTCGCGTGCATTTTCGCACTTATGAGGTTTGGCCTTAAGCAACGTGGAATAGGTAGGCTTGCTTTAGGAGCTCACGGGAATACACCAAATCAGGGAGTACAAGGTGATATGGGATAGACATCATTCGAGGGCAGGGAAGCTAGCAGCAAGATAAAATTTGAGAAGCGATTGAGAGAAATAGGGGAGGAGCGTTGGGCTAGGAAGGTTTTCAGCTACTTGTACATAAAGAATGTCGATACAAAATGGAGGAAGCGAACCAGGAAATGGACTGGTAAATACTTGGAAAACAGCAGGTGGCCAAACCAAAAAGACCAATCGGTTAAGAAGAAAGTGAAGGAAACGGAGGCTGACATGTGGAGAATTGGCATGATTAAGAAGTCCGCACTAGAGATCTATCGAACTTTTAAGCAGGAAATTGCCAAAGAAAGGATCTATGATAATACTCGGGGTAGTTCTCTACTGTTTAAGGCCAGGACGGGAGTATTGGGAACCAAGACATATCGGGCCAAATACGAAGGGGTAGACGCAGTATGCATTGCGTGTGGAGAGGAACAAGAAACTGCCGAACACTTGATAATGTTCTGTAAAGGGCTTCATCCTATAGTTCAGGATGATGGCGCAGAGTTTTTCAAAGCACTGGGGTTTAGGGACAGGGAAGGCAAAATAGACCTTAAGCGGGTAGACTTAACTAGAAGGAGGTTGTCTGATTTGTGGCCAAAGTCAAGGCGCGAGTGAAAATTAAGCCCTTCTCTGCAAAGTACCCGTCCAACTCTACTATTTAAAAGAAAGAAAAAAGATAAATCTAGTGGTTAGTTCACTAAGTATTACGGCTAGGTGGCATTAGCCGCCGCCCGATCTAAAGGGTAATGTCACGTACGTCCATCCATCCATCCATCCATCCATCTGGGTAACATTGCGGAGGAGACTAACGAGACAGCACGCGCCGCTCTCCACAAAAAATTGCTCCCACGCTGTGTGGTGGTGACCCGTTTTCGGTAAAATCATTTTGATCGAGCAAGTGTGGGGCAGTACATGGAACCTAAGCTCTTTAAAGTCTGATCTCTGAAAACCATTCTTGAAAAGACAGTGATAGGGTTAGTTTAACGTCCCAAAACCACCATATTATCATGAGAGAGGCCGTACTGGAGGGCTCCAGAAAGTTAGACCACCTGGGGTTCTTTATCGATTATACTCCTAGATCAGAAGTTTGAATCAATGCACCCGCGCTGCGGGAGCAAGAATATCATTTTAATAAACCTCGTATTTATAATTGACATGTCATAAAGCATTAGTTAAACATGGTTGTAGTATCATAATTTATCTTGCCAAGATAAACGCAAACCCAAGTGTTTGTCTCACTAGGCACGAAGAAATAAATGTGGATTTTACCTATTCCTAGAAGCGTTTAGGAAGAACATTGTCCTACAGGCTACCTCACCTATTAACCACCTTAAATAACGAAGACATTGACACTTTGTTCTTTCTTCCGCCATTGAGAACTTCCTATGAATCTATTTAAATATTGCAAGAAACGTCGCTACTATTGGCTGTCTTGTGCATTTTTAAAATAATTCTTATTACTGTATTATATCTTTTTTAGGGGCGAAGCTCCTTAGGGCGTGGGCTGTGCGTCCCCTGTAGCCTGTATGTAGCCATTTCTAGTTTAGTTCTTGCAGTGTTCACTAGATGGCGGTACCGTCCCCTGTATGTAGCCACCTCTAGTTTAGTTCTTGCAGTGTTCACTAGATGACGGTACCGTCTCCT